ATAAAGTCATTAGTTCATTTTGACTCAATAATAGAAGACAAAGGATCTATAAGAGAGAGTGAAAGATAGTCTTCTATTCACTCAGGATACCCAAAGTAGCCAGGGGTCATCTAAAATCAGCTTGTGCAAAGTGGATTTTCATTTCTATATCTATCTCTAAGTAATCACCTTTTTATCTATATATTCCTATTCTTCAATTACCATGTATTTAAAATGCCCTTACCTAATTTTTTGATAACAAAGTAGACAGTTACGCACACATGCACAAACATACACTGTGTGTATTTACTGTTCTCAAATATCACTTCCCAATGATATAGCCAAAGAATTTATAATCCTTCAAAACTAATTCTGTGAAATGCTTTTATAGAAAATTTTCAGATTGACTTTACTTCCCATGTCTTTAAGATAAAGTATAGGTGAAATTTTATGCCACAAAGTCTCCTTATTTAATTATAAATTCTCATCTCTATAATTATCTGAAATAAAGGTCTTTGTTATATGAAAAGGATAAGATTTGATTTATGGAAAAAACAATTCAAAAGAAGAAAGATAAATGTGCAGAAATATGATATATTGGTAAAATAGAAAAGAGAATACACATAAACTTAGCTAAATTTCTTCTATGATGAATTAAAGCCAAATATTTTCAATATTTTTAATCACAAAAATATATATATTTTTTTAAATTTGAAATTTTTAAAAAATTGAGTATACCTTAAGTTCCTATAGTTGCCTTATCTTGGTACATTTTTTTCCTGAATAAATATCTTACCAATTTTATTTCTCTAGTGTTTTTTAAGTAGATCCAAGCTCACACCTTTATTTCAAACTAAACATTTCAATTTCTACTTTTTAAAAACACTCTTTTTGCTTTTATAATTTTTACAGTGAATGGAATTTTAAACTGCAATACATTATTTGGAGGTGATAGAAGTTTATACCTATTCTTGAATCACTTTCTCTATTTACAATCAGATTAACTTCCTTTTCTAATAGTACTTCTTTATTATATTCTCATTTCTCAGTGTCAGACTACGTGTTGCCCCTCCAAGAAGTCTCTCAAAATAAACCAAATAGATGCTGTGCATCTGTTACCCCTTTAATACTCTTAAAAAACCGCATAAGAGATGTGCTGTCAATCCTATTTGCATTCAAGGATATTGAGACCCAGCCTGGTTCAAGTAACATTCCGGCATGTTGGATTCTAAAGCACAGGATGCTTTGCATGTTTTTTACTTTTTCTCATGAATGTGTGCCAGTGTGTGTGTGTGTGTGTGTGTGTGTGTGTGTGTGTGTGTCTGTGTCTGTGTCTGTGTCTGTGCGAGCGTGCGTGCACAAGTATATATGTGTATATGAACATGAACATGTATATGTGCAAATGTGTATATATGTGTGTGTATGTTCCTATTGGTTTTGTTGAAGATTATAACTAGTCTTTTTATATCTGCCTGAAGATTGGAGCATAAAATTGTGAAATGAAATGAAAGTTGTATTCATAATCTTTCCAGAGTCTCCATGGTCTTTGCATTTCCTTCATTATCTGACATGGTAACTGACAGATAGTAGTTACTCAATAAATTCTTATTGATTGAATTTTAAAAACCCTCTAAGTTTATTCAGAGAATTTTTTGAATAGAGTTACAAATGCCTTATATTCTTGTATTTTCACTCATTAATCCCCACACAGCTGCTTTAATAATATTTTTATTCTTTTAATTTTCCCCATTTTAAAGCACGTTTTAAGAAAATTTGCCTAGTGCTAAGAATAATATGTTCTGAAAGTGTCAAATTTGATTTTGTATAGAAAAAATGATTACAGATCAACAATTTTGTCACAAATCACCTTTTGTAGTAGGAAAAGTAAGAAAAAAATTTCTATAGGGATCTTATTTTTCAGTTGATACTAATTAGATTTTTTTAAACCAAGTTTAAAGCTCACACTGTTCTAGCTTGAACAGTGCCAAATGATAATCCAATGTGACATACATTTCCTATAGCAATAACATTTTGGCAGATAAACTCCCCAATGAGAAACAACGATTTCTATGCTTAGATGAAATTTGTGTTAGAACGCAAATGAAAAAAAAAAAAAGTAACAGAGTTTTTTAAAAAATTCCACAGTATAATGAATCCATTTTCCATGTTTACTGAAAGTGCCTAAATCCATAGAGAGTAAAGACATTGAGTATATAATAAACAATGCATCAGAGATTCCTCATTGTCCTTGGAAGGTTGATAGAATAACTATTATTTACACTGAAATTCATTCCTAGAAATCTTGTATCCCTTCCCTTCATTATGCAACGCTGTCTTGGACCTGGGAGTCTAGAAATGTGGAAATTATAACACTTTGACACACCATGTAAATGAGGTATCGCTGTAACATGCTATTTAAATAAGGTTTGGAACAAACATTCAGTAGGGAAGTTTGGAAAACTTATAACGAGATTACCTCATAACTTTTTTTATAAGAGTATTCTTGTATTTCCCCCCAGCCATCTTTTAATTCCAACAAGATGGCACAGTGTGCCAATTTAGCTTTCCAGCAGCAAAGCTTCACGTTGTCTTATTGTGGCAATTAGTCAGGAGCTGAGCTTGTCATTTGAGCTGCTCCTTCTTTTCTTTAGATAATATTTGACTTGGAGGCTCCTTGTCAAATGGAAATACCTGCAATGGATAGTATCAGTCTCAATCAACAAAATATTTCCCATCATCAGTTCTGAAATTGAGGCTAGAATTGGATAGCTAGTAAATGTGTCCACAGTAGTCTGTGCACTTTATTCATTACCTACATATTATTTTCAAGATGAACTAGAACACCTGGGCAACTGTATGCCCATGGAAAAAGCCTTAGGAGAGATTCAATTTAGAAACAATTTTTTTTCCAAAATGAAATATTTATTTTTAAATTACCATAGCTATAGCAGCACAACTGACTGTCCATAGGGATGAAACCTATGGATATAGAAGGGGGAAAAAAAAGAATCAATGAAAATACTTCAACCTTGCGACATAAGTTCATTATTTTTAGAATTGTGCTCTTTTAGGGGCATTTATTTACTTCTATGTTAGAAACTTCAAAAAATTAGAAATAAATAAGATGTAGGTTACAGGGTAATTAAAAACTGCAACTTCCTTTTATATTTATAAATCTCTATCAGATAGGGTGGATATAAAAATATTTATTAAAGTTAAAATAGATCTTCATCTTTCTATAATTCAAGAGCTCCCATAGGTGACACAGTAACCATTTCTACTATGTCTTATGTTCAATTGGTGGCACCTCCTTCGATTTCTATACTTGATGAATTCCAATCTTATTCCATCTTTTCAGTTTTACCCTGATACTTATTTTTTCAACCTTTTTACTGTAAATAAGCATTTCATGTGAAATCTCTTTCTCTTAAAAAAGAAAAAAAAAATATGTATATATATATATGAAAAAAAAATCAAGTTTCAACAGGCTGAAGACCAAAGAGAGCACAGAGCTATCCATGGAAGAATCCAGCCAGGGAGGCCCAGACAGTCCCTCCCTCAAGAAAAGCCAATGCATCTCCCCAAGAACTATTTCAGTCACCGTGTGCTCTCTAAATAGCCTTCTGAAGAAGTTCCCAAGGAGATTTCTTCCCAGGGCACTTGGGAAAGGTTCCTTCAATTAGGGTGGGCTTTTGGGGAGGAGTGGATGAAGGAGACCATTAGGTCAGTTTACTAAAGATAGCCTGCAGAATACTTTAATTCTGACAGTGAATAAAAGGAGAACAAAAAACATTGAAATACAACAGCAGAGAGCTTTGTGAATAACACTGTGTGGTTTTCAGCTTCAAGTCTGGCTATCTCAATGCCAATACATATTTACATCGGAATACAGAAAGCTATAGCTTATAAATAGTCTAACTTCTAATGTTTTTATTCTTGAAACTATTTCCTGAAATAGTGCCCTGTCTGTTTTGAAACTGTAACCTTTCCTATTTTCATAAATAGAGGAATAAAAGGCAAATTATCATTTCGTAACTCCTAGGCATCTTTAGTGGAGAGAGCCGCCTGTCAGTTTTACTTGCTCAAGTACTTTAAATTAAGTTGTTTTGGGAGCAAAGCAATAGAATCTAAGTCTGGTCTCTCTCCATTTGTGCTTTTCGCCAGTTTCCAGCAGAGCTGGCTGAAAGAAAGCTGAAGGGCACTGATTTAAAATCAGAGTGGCTAGGGTGAGCCGTGGCACTTTCCTAACACAGAGTCTATCAAAAACACATTTTAATTTCTTATATTTGTCATTTACTTAACAAGCATAAACTTCATTGAGCCTAGTTGTTTGCTTTGTTGAAATGTATTGGAAGTTCACATATTTTTTTTTAATTTCCCATGGTAATATTAACTAAATCTAATTTTAAGCCATTAATCTTTTAACTTTTCATTTTGCTTTTATTATATCTCCAGTTAAAGAGATAACATTAGATGTACCAGTTTTTATTATCTTGTTTTGTTCACTTGCATGTGTTCAAAATTTTTGAATACTTTTATTTTAGGTAATTGCTATTTTCAATGTAGAAATACATACCTTGTAACTCTGCCTGCTGATTTTTGAACATACATAAACATAACTATTGTACACTGAACACATTTTCCTATGAGCTCTTTTTAAATTATAACTTATTCCCTTAGACCAAAAAGTATAACATTTTTATATTTATTATGAGATAAAAAAATAATTTCTATAGACAGCCACAGGATACAGGTTCATTTGTGGTAGTTTAAATCTAAGGAAAATTCAGTAGAGTTTTCTGTTGGTGGTTTTTATATTTTGATTTACTAATTGATTATATATTATATGGTTAGTGAAAGTACCTTCAGATTATATAATAATTTTATCTGCTTTTTAAAAGTATTATATTTTAAGTGATAAATTCTGAATACATTTTCTTTTCATAATCTTGCCTGTGTATACTATGAAGCCTTTTTATCTTAACTTATATTTATTTCATTAAATTCATTTTATTTTTCAGGAAAATGTTACACCCTAAACCGTATCAATGGATTCTAACATTTTTCTGCTAAGATCAGAGAAGTCTACCCCTAAAAGGTATATGTTGCACTACTTTGATTTCAACAGTTTGCAAATATGTGTCCTCCCAGCAGCAATTAAAATTTGATGAATATCAAATTATCCCTGGAATTTTTCCCTTTGATAAATTTTAATTAATGTACTTATTATTGTAGCTTTCACAATAAGCTAATAATGATAAAAATGAGTTTAAGTGATACAAAAAGTTTTACCAATTCCACCTGAAGATTATCAGATGAAAACATAGATTTTAATAGCTGCTATCAGTCTATATTTATAGCATATCAGTTGAGGTGAGGATTAGAAATTATAAACCTGAAATTGTCAGTGATCATTATTATGATGCTTTGCTTTTAATCCAAATAAGTGAATGCAAATCTCATAACTTTAGAATTAGTTCTACACAATGCAGAAAAAAAAATCAATGGAACTAGTTTAATGAGAAATGAATGTAGTCAGTAGAAATTTAATTGAACAACAACTGAAGATAATTGAAATGACTGAGAAATATTTATGAGTGATATGACAAGCAAAAAGTTAAAAACCTCATGATAAGACAAACTCATATTAATATAAAAAATACTAACACCTTGGTAAAACAAATGAGAGGTAATTTGAAGAAAAGAATCACACATACTAATGTTATATGCATGTGGGTTGTATGTAAACACATAAAAATATATACAAGAAGAATATGCAAAACAGAAGTATTCTCTGGGAAGACAGAGAAAGGAAAATGGAAGACATTAAATATATTTCTAATATTCTAAAGTAAGTATATTAATAATTGAAATAAACAACTTAAAATTGCTAAAATTTGTCAGCTTTTACTGGTGAGTTCAGGAGTGTTGTTTTTTATTTTCTAGATACTTTTATGATCCCTATATTTAAATAATTAGCAAATTGAAAATAATAATCACAGAACTTACAAATGTTACAAATGGCTAATAACAAATACAACAATTAATAAATTGATCAACATTAGAAGTAATCAAAAATGCAATTAAAAGCAAAATAAAAATTGGCAAATAGCTATCAGAGATTTTTAATGTAGGATACTATATATTAATGAGTAGGACAATAGTCATTCTCATACAGTGCCATGGGAGTGTAAATTGGTGTAAACTTTCTAAAAATCCATTTGGCAGTAGGTATAAAGAGCAAGAAAATGATCAGCTCATTTTGATCCAATAATTCCATTTCTTGGAATCTAGCCTAAAGGCAAAAGAAGTGTAACAAAATATATTGGCACAAACATGTTGACCTTTTTTTCATTTATCCACTTAATGAAAATCTATAGAGCCCTTGTTATGTGTCTGAAATTGTACAGCCACTAGCTCTACAATGGCCATCAAGGCAGATAAATGTCTGTCATATAAAACTTGCACATACATGTGTGTACATGAATAAAGGGAGAGAGAGGAATAATAATAATTTTATTATATAAATTTAAGGACTAGAATATGTTGTTTTGATACAATATTTATAGTAAAATAGTAAACTATCACTTTTATAAAGCAACTACAATGTGCCATATGCCATTTTAATCATGATTATACACATTATATGTATCATCTCATTTAATATTCACAACAACCCCATGAGGTAGGTATTGATTTTCTATTCCTATTGAAACTAATTACTACAACCTTAGTGGTTTAATACAACACAAGTTTTTTCTCTTCAAAATTGACTTACCAGCCTGAACTCAATTTATTCTTTCTACAAGCTCTGGGGATAATCTATTCATTTCTTTTCTCTAACCACCTTCTTTAGCACTATTTCTTCATCTTCAAAGCAAACAAAGTCAGGCAGAGTCCATACACTGACAGACTTTTAGTTCTTTCTCCTGTCCTTTCTACTCCTAAGAACCCTTGCATACATTGGGCCCACCTGGATAATTCTGTATAAACTCCCCATCTTAAGGTAAACTGTCTAGCAAACTTAGTCACATATTCAACCTGAATTCCTCTCTGCCATGAAACCTAACATAGTCATAGGTTCTGGAGATGATGATGTGAACATCTTTGGAAGCTTGTATCCTACCTATATAAGTAAGTAATATGTTTAATTCTCATTTCACACAAAACCAAGAGGGAACAGAGTTTTGCTTTTTTTAATGTTTTGATTTTTTTATTGAGTTGTTTTTAATTTTGCCCAAAGTTCATAGAGTTACTTAGTAATAAATCTGGTATTCAAACCTAGTTAACCAAACCAGATCTTGAGTTGTTTGACTTCATTAGCAAACTACTAGTTCTAAATCCTCTGTAACAAAATAGAAGTTTTCAGAGAGAGATTAAAAAAAACAACAATGAGAATATACTAAAATGTTCATGACATTTACCTCTGAGCTTATGAGTAATCTTTATTCTGCTTCTTTATATGCTTTTGTAATTTCCACATTTTCTTCAATGAATCTGTTGAAACCTTTTCTGGTATTAGTTGGTTAAGCTGGTGTGTTAGCTGTTTATCACTATGACCAAAATACCTGATGTAAACAACCTAAAGAAGGAAACTCTTATTTTGTCTCATGATTTCAGTGGTTTCAGTCCACAATCAGCTGATTACAGCAGAACATCACAGTGGAAGGGTGCAGTGGAGGAAAGATGATCAGTTCATGGCAGCCAGGAAATGGGGGTCGGTAGGAGGGACAAAACATAGTCCCAAGGGCATAAATTTATTTATCTACTTCTTCCAACCATGATCCCCCTGTGTATAGTTTCCACCACCTACCAGTAGTTCATTCAGCTCTCAATGGATTGATCTACTGATGAGGTCAGAGACCTCATGATCCAATCACTTCCTGAATGTTCCACATCTGAACACTATGGGTAACACTTTGTAGCCAAACCACAATAGCTGGGAACTGTTTGCTGTAAACACCTTCCATGCATGTTCTATTTGGCCAAATGTGATGCTGTAAACATTGGAAGGTGGAAACAAAGCACTATGATTGCATTCTGATGGTCATTATCAGTTAAAGTCAATAAGAGAGAGATGCAGGTCTGCAGGTCATACATATCCCATCTGCATGTAACAGTCCCTCCTTAAGTTTGTCAAGAGCAGCCCTTTGCTCACCACCTAATGTTATCCTCAAAGAAATAAGAGCCATGAATAGTCAATAATCTTCCATAGACTTCCAGACCAGCCTTCCTTTGTCACTCCAGTTCTGTAGATGGGTGTGCAATAACTTCCAGACTTCTATGCAGGAACCAACTTACTCTGTCTCGCGGCTGCCTAGATACTTTTCTCTGGAAATACTATTTCTATTTTTAAACTTTTACAATCCTTGTTTCTTTCAAAGTGTGTAAGTCTTAATTCCTATAATAAATTTATTTTTCCTAATACACATAATATTTCTGCATGTTTTATTGAATTCTGACTGATACCATTATTGGAACTAGAACTGTGTTGTTTCCGTCACAAAAACCTTAAACTTGTAGCCTTTACCTTCAGATTGGCAGTGAAAAGAAGTGGAAGGAAATGAAGGAATTCACTGGTAGAGACTTGAAGGATAACTTGAAGTATAATTATTTGAAGCTGGAAGAAAGGTGATTCAAGTTATGTACCAACTTGCCTTACCTGTGGTAACATGGCAAATAGGAAGGGCCACTAAGCAAGTCATTGATGTGGCCAGAGAGAAAGTTGGAAGTACTCATTGATTTTTCTAACTACAAATGATAAAATGTGAGAAAATCAGCTTGTGAAGGATACTCTGATTTTTTAGGACAATTCAGTGGGATTGTACTTAGAGTGAAGAACAAGGACAGTTGTTCTACACAGAGTTGAATTCTCAAAGTAAGAAATGGCTTCCAGGTAATGATGAAAACAAGGGATCTACCAGTAAAATATCTCAACTTAAAGATGGAGTCAAGAATATACCTTTAGCCCTTTACTGGGATCACAAGTAGATTAAATGTCTGCCTCACAGACCTTCTCCACTAGACAAAATGAAAAAAAAAAAAAGAAAGAAAGAAAGCTTACTATTTTGCTCCTTAGTACTTCTATGATGGAAGGTTTCTGTGGATGTTAATGGTTTTGTGCTATAGCACCTTGACTCTCAGTCCAAAATAAAGAGTGACCCGTTTTAAACGGATAGGTGTGTATAATTCTGTCTAATGGTATGATCTTCAGTAATACTTGGAAAAGGTTACAAAGTCTTTAGAACCTTAGTTTTAAGGCCACAATCTCTTTAGACTCTCAGTTTTGTAGTGATAGAAACATTGAATGATTATATTAAATGGGAGAGAATCAGTTCAAAATTTAAAAAAAAACAAATTATGGGCTCTCTCAACTTTGCATGAGCAGAAATCAGGCTAAAAAAATTAATTGGATGCAAGAGTGGGCAATTTCCTAGTGAAAAGGAATGGTGAATCAGTGTGGACCCAGTAGGCTAGAGAGTAAAGAACCCTTAAGAACAACTACCAGAAACTGGCAGTGTTGTCCTGACTGGACCAAAACTGCAATGGACTAGTGACTTCTACTGACTCATCATTACCCCCTCACATTGGAATAGGAGTAGTCACTGAAGTTATCCTGAAATCATACCTATTCTACGACCATTTTTCTGTGATGAGCTCAAAGTCTATGTGGTGAAACTTAGTGGAAAAGTAAAGGTGATCAGCAAACTCTCAGCTTTGTCCACATGCCAGTACCTGTGACAGCAATGGGGAGAACAACCTAAAAATCTTGCTGACCAGGAATCATGAAGACCCCTGCAAACCATCCCTGCCATCTCCAAATCTTGCTTCACTCCAGCTGAGGCACAAGCATTGTGCAGAAGAGACAACCCCTCTCTGAGGTGTTCTGACTAAATTCATGACCCACCAAATCATAAACAAAATAAACTGGTTGCTGTTATAGTCTACAGTTTGGGGATGGAATAAACATATAATTGAAATAATATGTACTGCATGGTTTTTTATAAGTACTAATTTTATAAACTGTATGAAGAAATAACAAGTAGATCATAAATATCCTCTTTTTCTTTGACTAATTCATCAATTTAAATGCTAAAACTCAGAGAAGTAAATATCTCAATGTTCCAAATCAAAGGGTAGTAATTCATCT